CGTGCCGGCCGCCGCCGCGCGATACGCGCTGCGCGAGATCGAGATCCCGCTCGGGGAGCTCTTCGCCCGCAAGTCCGTGGCGTCCTCGGCGTGCTCGACGCCGCCGCCTGGGCCCGGTCCTGGCCCTTGCCCCGGGCCTGCCTCCGCCTCGCCCGCTTCCCCTTCGCCCGCCGATGTGGCCTACGAGGAGGGCCTGGCGCGCCTCAAGATCCGCGCGCTAGAGAAGCTGGAGGTGGACCGGAGGCTGGAGCGGCTGAGCGAGGAGGTGGAGCAGAAGATTGCGGGCCAGGTGGGCCGGCTGCAGGCCGAGCTGGAGCGCAAGGCGGCCGAGCTGGAGACGGCGCGGCAGGAGAGCGCGCGGCTCGGGCGCGAGAAGGAGGAGCTGGAGGAGCGCGCGTCGGAGCTCTCGCGCCAGGTGGACGTGAGTGTGGAGCTGCTGGCCTCGCTCAAGCAGGACCTGGTGCACAAGGAACAGGAGCTGAGCCGCAAGCAGCAGTGAGTAGACCCTCAGGGCCCTGCGGGTGGGAGTGCCCGTGGGAGTCACTGTGCCACCGCCACCACTATGAACGTGCCTCATTATGTTTGTGTACGGGGCCATGGCTTTGTAATGTGGGATCTGTGGCCACGAGCAGGTAATGGTGGTATGTGTGGGGCCAAGTGTTGTGATGGTGTGTTTGAGACTATGAGTACATGTCAGTGTGACCATGTGCCTGTCGGTGAAGACTGTATGTTTTTCCTCCTTCTCTATCGCAGCCGAGACCAACCCCTTGCACTTTGGCACCAGGTCCTCTTCCCTTTTGCCTGCTCAAAGATGTAGCTCAATCCTCTTCTCTCCCCTTTTCATCATCAGATTTCCCTTTCTACGTATCACTCCTAAAAGTGTGAGGACATGATGTCATTTCTCCCATCTGCCGTAACCCTACTTCCCCTTGAGCTTCTATCCCGTTTCTCTCCTCCTTATAGAAAAACTCTTTGTGAGTATTTTTTATATTCCTTGTCTCCAATTTCTTTCCTCACTTTCTCTCTTAAACCCCCTCTGATTGGGATTTCAGCTCCACCACTGTCCTCATGTCACCAATGACCTTGATGATGCTAAGGCCCCATCATCATCTTACTTGGCTCATCTGCAGCATCTGACATAGGTGATCCTTGAAACACTTTCTTTTTTTTTTTTTTTTTCCTTTTTGTCTTTTTTCGTGTCCGGCAACGGATCGCAACCCTCAGTGTCGCGCCCTCGGACCGGGACCAGCAACAGGATCGCAACCCTCGGTGTCGCACCCGCACCTCGCTCAGCCAGTGAGCGGGAACCGGTCTGTATGTGGGATCCGAACCCTCGTTGGGAGCGCCGCTGCGCTCCCAAGCGGCGCACTGTAGCAGTGCACCACCGGGCCGGCCCCTTGAAACACTTTCTTTACTTAGCTTCCAGGACACTCTGCTGGGATTTTCTTCCATCTTTCTATATGCTCTTTCTCAATCTTCTGTGCTAGTTTCTCATTTCTCTGGTCTTTAAATGTGGGATTATGAACTGTGTAGATGTTATTTATTTGTTCTCATTGCAATATAAGCCCCACGAAGGCAGGTTTTTTTCTGTGGTTTACTGCTGTTTCCCCAATGCCTAGAACAGTGCCTGGCATCTAGAAGGTGCTCAGTAAATGTTGACTAGATGTATGAACAACCGTAAATGCATTTGGGAGTAAATACATGCCTCTGTGTGTGCTGTGTTTGTGCAACACCTGGAGGTTGCTGCACACTATATGCTTCTGCGTCTGAGTATGTTTCTCTATATGGTGATGTGATGTGCATATTTTTTAATGTTTCTGAAAGTGTGTGTGCATGAATGTGTCAGTGGGCTGTGCTTCCATAGTTCTTTGTGTGTTTCAGACTGTGAATGTGTACCTGAGCACGAACGTGATATCAGTGTGCGGGACTTTGCCTGGGGACTGTGTGGGGATATGTGATGTGGCTGGGTGGCTGTAAGTGTGTGCCCAGGAGTGTTGCTCTGTTGGGAGGCTATGTGTTGAGGCCACATGTAACTGAGCATGTCTGTACGTTTTTGTGTGGGGCAGATGTGTCCGGTTGTGGTGCATGGACGTGTGGGAATCTGTGTGTGCCTGGAGGTGATTGTGTGTGACCGAGGATGCCTATGAGTATTTCTGGAGAGAGCAGCGGTGTCTAGTTGTGCATCTGGGGTTGGGAGGGTAGGGGGTGTGTCTGTGTGTGACTTGGAGCATATGCCTACATTTCTGTGCGTGCCATTGTGTGAGGCTGTGTGCCCGGCCTGTTCCACGTGGATCCCTGTGACCATGAGCAGACACAGCAGGCAGCTGTGCCTGTGTGGACCCCCACCGGCCAGCCTCTCCTCCAGAGGGTGGGTGGGCAGCCAGGCCAAGGCTCTGGGGTAAGAGACTGCTCCGGGTCCAGGGAGGTGGTGCAGATTGACCAGTTCCTGAAGGAGACGGCAGCACGGGAGGCCAGCGCCAAGCTGCGGCTGCAGCAGTTCATTGAGGAGCTCCTGGAGCGGGCTGACCGCGCTGAACGGCAGCTGCAGGTCATCAGCAGCAGCTGCGGCAGCACACCCAGTGCCAGCCTGGGTCGTGGAGCTGTGGGCGGGGGCGTGGGGCCCGGGGCCCGGAACCCAGGCAGAATGGTGAGTGCCCACCTACATTCCCTCCTCCACCCGCACACCTGGCTCCCACAACCTCCCCTCACGCACGGCCTGGCATCCCCCCACAGTGCTCCATGCTTGCCTTCTGTGGCTCTTCCCCCACAAGCAGACTCCAGGCCTGAAGCACGGGTCCAGGAACAGGGGAGCCCCCCTGATTGGGCAGGAATGATGGCCCCTGAGGCTGTAGCATGGTGTGATCCAGGGCCCTGGCCCTCAGAGTCCCAACTCTGCAAATGAGAGCCCAGGAGCCACAAGCTGGGGTCTGGGGCACTGGAGGGGATGGGGAGAGGGCTGGTGAGCCTGCCTCTCTGGGCTACCTGTCTGTCCATTCGTCCATCTTTCCCAACTTTTTTCCTTCTTCTCTCTCCTTTCCCTCCTCTCTTTTCTCCATCTTGTGCCCTGTTTCTCCTGCTATTGCCTGCTCATCCTAATGCCTCCTCTGCCCCCCTCTCCCTCCCGCTCCGGGGGCCCACAGCGAGAACACCACGTGGGCCCGGCCGTGCCTAGCACATATGCAGTGTCACGGCATGGCTCCTCTCCCAGCACAGGGTAAGCCTCGCCCTACATAGCCCACTCTCACCACGTCGGGGGCCTGTCTCTTCCTCCTGCCCCCATCTTCCTTGGGTCACCTGTGTCTGCCTTTCCACACTCAGAGGGGGATTTTGAAAAGCAGGGCGGGTGGGTTGCCCTTGGCTGGTGGTTGGGGCAGATGGAGGGTTTGGGTAGGTCTGGTGTCCCTCGCCCCTTACTATCTGGTCCACCCTGCCCCAGGGCCTCCAGCCGCATGCCAGCTGCATCCCAGAGCTCAGGCTGCTATGACAGTGACAGTCTGGAGCTGCCCCGTCCAGAGGAGGGGGCTCCTGAGGACAGTGGCCCTGGGGGCTTGGGCACACGGGCCCAGGCTGCCAACGGTGGCTCGGAGCGGTCCCAGCCCCCTCGCAGCTCAGGGCTGCGGCGCCAGGCCATCCAGAACTGGCAGCGCAGACCCCGACGACACAGCACTGAGGGGGAGGAGGGTGATGTCTCGGACGTGGGCTCCCGAACCACCGAGTCAGAGGCTGAGGGCCCCTCGGATGCCCCCCGCTCTGGGCCTGCTATGGCTGGGCCATCGAGCAGCTGCCGGCTCTCAGGTAAGTCCTGGGATGTTGGGCAGAGAGGCCAGCCCTTCCCAGGGTTCCTAGCCCTCTTGGGGAACACGGGGCTGAGACAATGAATCTCCTGGGCTCCCGTACCTCCCTTCCCTTTCCCCAGACTTGCATACCCCTCCTACACAGCGCCCTCCAAGCCTGGGCCATGCCACAGGCAGGGTTGCAGCAGCACATGGGTGCTCAGGTTGTTACCTGCACAAGGATGCCACATCCAAAGGGGGTCCACTCACAGAGTGGGCTCAGTGGCATGTATAGAAGAGTAGTTGAGTGTTGACTTCAGACTGTGAAGCTCCTGGCATGGTGGGGGTGAGCCCCCTCCCACATGCACACAGGCCATGCACATATGTGGGTGGCTTTGGAAGTTAAAGGGTTAGGGTCAGGGGTGACTGTGCTCTGGGCAGACCCTTACATCCTTTGTGTTCCCAGAGGCCAAGTTTAAACTCTAGCCCCCAACCCCTTTCCTTCTCCAAATCTGACTCAGTTGTCTCAGTAGGGGGTGAGTTTGGGCTGTTGTATAATATGTCCTTAAAAATACAGTTTATGTGAGGAAGAGCCCCTTTTTCTAATTTGTAAAATTAGGGATGGGGATACTGCAGAGGAGGGTGAAGCAGAGGCCCCTTGTCACTCCCAAGGCACTGGTCTCTCAGCATGGGTCTCTCATGCCCATTCTTCCTGCAGCTCCTACCCTGCCCCAGGACCCAACCCAAATCCTCACATTGTCCTTAGACCCTCCACACTCACCTTTGAACCCCCTGTATTCTGCAGCCCGCCCTGAGGGAGGCAGTGGGCGGGGTCGGCGAGCCGAGAGGGGCAGCCCCTCGCGCTCTAACGAGGTCATCAGCCCAGAGATCCTCAAGATGCGAGCCGCCCTGTTCTGCATCTTTACCTACCTGGACACGCGCACACTGCTGCATGCCGCCGAAGTCTGCCGGGACTGGCGCTTCGTGGCCCGCCACCCTGCCGTCTGGACCAGGGTGCTGCTCGAGAACGCCCGTGTCTGTTCCAAGGTGCCTGCCCCTGCCTGCTGCCCCACCCTGCTGCAGACCCACCTTTTGCCCTGGATAGAATCTGGCCCCTCAGGATCAGGTGTTTGTCACCCTTACAACACCCCAGCTCTAGCCTTGCTCCCTGAAACACTCTCATGGGGCCTCCTATGCTGGGACTGGCCCACCTCCAGCCAGCCAAGCTCAGACGCCCTCGTCTCCAGATAACCTCCCTGTGCCCGCAGTTCCTGGCCATGCTGGCTCAGTGGTGCACCCAAGCCCACTCGCTGACGCTGCAGAACCTGAAGCCCCGGCAGCGGGGAAAGAAGGAGAGCAAGGAGGAGTATGCCCGGAGTACCCGGTGAGGCCTGCGGTGATGGGGGGTGCTCCTGAGCCACAGACCTGGAATTAAGTGGGAATGCTTCCAAGAGGAGGCAGAAGCCCCAAACAGCTCCATGACCTCTTGTCATCCCCAGGGGCTGCCTGGAAGCAGGGCTGGAGTCTCTGTTGAAGGCAGCTGGTGGGAACCTGCTGATCCTGCGCATCTCCCACTGCCCCAACATCCTCACTGACCGCTCGCTCTGGCTGGCCAGCTGCTACTGCCGCGCCCTGCAGGCTGTCACCTACAGGTGGGTCCAACCCGCCAGAAGCAAGGCCCATGCCCTCTCAGCCTTGGGTCCCAAGGGATCCCTAGGCACTGCATAGCCTTCCCCCAGAGTTCTCAGGCAAAGGGGCCCAAGAGCTCTGTGGCCTGAGGGAAGGAAGTCTTGGTGGGAGCAGAGGCCACCAGGGTGGGCAACTTCAGCTTTATCTTTTCAACAGGAGTGCCACAGACCCTGTGGGTCACGAGGTCATTTGGGCCCTGGGCGCAGGCTGCAGAGAGATTGTCTCCCTCCAGGTGGCGCCACTTCACCCCTGGTGAGCCCTGGCAGGGATGAGGTTGGAGGGGTGTGGGGTTGAGGATTGGGCAGATCTGAGCCCATTCCATAAGCTGTTGGGGAAACAGATTCACACACTTTAATCTGTGTATTGAAGCATTAGAAGCATGGCTTTAAAATTAGACCTGAGAATAAGAGTTTAAAAAGAAAAAGAAAAGAAAAAAAAATCAAACCTGGGGTCGTGTCCTGGTTTACTGGCAGTGTCACTTTGGGCAACCCAGTCATGTCTTAGTTTCTTAACCTGCAAAGTGAAGATGATATTAGGAACCTATTGACCTTACCAGGGCTGTTGCTGGCTCAAATGAGATCATGTTCACAAAACCTTCAGGACCCACAATTCAGTAAATGCTAGCTGAAATAGCCAGTTCAGATCCTTATAATAGCCAGTCTCCAAAACAAAACAAAATAAAAAAAAAAACTAGCCCGATTTGTCTGGCAGTTCAGGGAGGTCAGTATATAACGTATTAAAGAGCTGGTTGTTAGAGAATCTAAGGTGTGGAATTGTTCCTTGCTCTGCTTGAAATTTGTGAAACATACCAGACTTTTCAGCTCCCTGAACCTTGCCCTCCAACCCTCTCTCCATGTGACAGCTCCCCCCAGGTCATCCAGTGTGCCTTCACTAACCCGCTGGCAGAATGTGTCACTGCTCCTCTGCCCTAATTCCTACTGTGCCTTGTCCTGACCCTGCTGTCATCCATTTTGCAATCATTTCTCTACACAAGTATTTCAATCCCCTGTACTAGACCTGCAGTTCTCAGGACAGAATCTGAGAATGTCCATTTCAGTAGCCCTGGTACCAAGTGCATAGCAGATGCCAGAGAGATGTCTGTTGCCTGGGCTAATGTGGAGGGATGAAATGTTCAGAGAAATGGCAAGTTTGGTGTGAATGAAGCGGACGGAGCCAAGCAGCAAGTGTGGAAAGGAAGGTTGGAGCAAGGTGTGGAAGGGCTTTGCTCCATTTAGGTTTTTGCATTTTATATAGAAAGTACTGGGAAGCTATTGGGGGATTTTAGATTTTAAGGAAAGGATTAAGATCAGACTAGTAATGTTCTGTGTCCCCCACCAGTAGACTGTCCACTCCTTGAGGACAAGGATCATGACTATTTTGTAACCACTGTATCCCCAAGACCTAGCTTTCTTGTTCTTGGCTGTCATAGACATGTGGTAACCATTTGCTGAATGACAGAGTGAGCAAATGTAGGAATGAATGGCTCACTGTCAGCAGTGTGGAGGATGAATTGGCAGGGAGACTGTTACAATCCAGATGAATGTTGATGGTGGTCTGAACTGTGGGCTCAAGACTTACTCAGGAACCAGAATCTGCAGGACTTGCCAGGAGATTGGGGGAAGGAGACAGGGACAATCCCAGTTTTCTGACTTGACCAGCTGGGTTGTTACTGGGGCACTTGCCTGAGGCAGAGAGGGGTCCCACAGGAGGAGCAGGCTCAGAGTGTCAGGCATTCAGAGGCTTCGCTAATGCCCCCCTCCCCATTTTCCAGCCAACAGCCTACACGCTTCAGTAACCGCTGCCTGCAGATGATTGGTCGCTGCTGGCCTCACCTCCGGGCCCTGGGGGTTGGGGGTGCCGGCTGTGGGGTGCAGGGCCTGGCATCACTTGGTGAGTCTTTCCTTGGGACTGGTGTGGGAGTTGGTGAGAAGCAGGCAGGGGTGCCAGGATGCCCTGTGAAATCCCACAGGGGCTCGGGTCCGCAGCCTGGGTGGTGGTGGGGGCCCCAGGGTGCTGGCCAGGAGGTGACCTGGGGAGTTTGTCAGCAGGGCTTCCCTTCTTCTTCCTAGCGAGAAACTGCATGCGGCTGCAGGTCCTGGAGCTGGACCACGTGTCAGAGATCACCCAGGAGGTGGCGGCTGAGGTCTGCCGGGAAGGCTTGAAGGGACTGGAGATGCTGGTGCTCACGGCCACCCCTGTCACCCCTAAGGCCCTGCTGCATTTCAATAGTGAGCAATGGGGGAATGCAGGGCAGGATATGACTGTCACCTGTCTCTATGCCCTGTCAACAGGTAGCATAACCAGTTCCCTGTTGCTCCTAATCAGCAAGCAGCAGCACTGAGGTCAGACTGACCAGGGTCCTTGTCCTGACTTTGCCACCAGTGCCTTCTGAGGCCATTGTGGCATTCAAGGCTCTCCAGCATGTGGTCCAGATAGTTCAGTTTAAAAGATATTTGTTGCCTGTCCATGTTGGGGACACAAGCTGTCCAGTACCACTGGCCACCACTTGAGCCTCCCACCGAGGGCAGAGACAGGAGGACAGACAAGAGCACAGGTTCTGAAGCTGGACTGACCTAGGTCCAAGTTCTGGCTGTACTGCTCATTTAGCTTGTGTGACTTTGGGAACATGACCATACCTCTCTCAGTTCTGTATTCCCATCTTCTAAGCTAACTTTCTAGAATGGGTAAGAGGATTCAATGAGATAATGTATATAAGTCAAGTCCCCCCAGAACAGTTTTCAGGGTGAATATTCTTCTCTCCCTGGACTCCAAGTCATGCCCCCAACTCTGTCAAACCACCCCCTCCACTTTTAGTCACCCCTCCACTTTCTTTGAGGACACAAGTACCCAGAGCTCAGGCTGCTCCCACCCAAATGAAACCATCGTCCAGGACTGTTTGGTCCCTTGGAGGTCCTCATGCCCTGACTGCCGAAGGTCCTTGACCATCTTATGTCCAAAACCCTCTTCTTCCCTCCTGGTCATGCCCTAAACCTTACCACCAGAACTCAGCCTCTGAAATCATGATCTCCAGGCCTTTCTTGGCCTCCTGACCTTCTTCCTCTGCCTCTCCCTGACCTCACAGCAACGTTCAGTCCTTTAAGCCCTCTGTGCCCACCTTGTTTGCTCTTGGTCTCCACTCCTTCCTGCTCCAGCCTAGACCCATCAGCCTTGCCTCACCCACTCTGTTCCTTGTGACTGATTTCCAAATGCCCAGGCCATAGTACAACTGTCTCCTCTGCCACGGAAGTTACTAGAGCCCTTGAACAATTGGCTGTTGCTGTCTCATCCTCCCAGGGTCCACTACAGCCTCTCCTCTTCCCCACCTCACTGTCTGCATTCTCCTTCATCCAGTCATGAGCCCCTGGACGGCATGGGTCTGCTTCTCTTCGAGTTCCCAGTGGCTGGCATGTGGTTGTCTCTCAGTGGGTGTCTGCTTTCATTAGTTAGCGAGAGGAGAGGAGCCCATTGCCCAGGCCAAACATTCCCCCCCACCCCCCAGGCATTTGCCGGAACCTCAAGTCCATTGTGGTCCAGATTGGGATTGCCGATTATTTCAAAGAGCCCAGCAGCCCTGAGGCCCAGAAGCTGTTTGAGGACATGGTGACGAAACTCCAGGTGAGGGGTCAGCTCTATCCCTAAGCTGGGGCTGGTGACCTGGGTAAGTGTGGCAGGAGGGCCCCACCTGCCTGGCTGTGAGGGAGAACTAACCCAGGGTTTGGTTCACAGGCCCTGCGACGTAGGCCCGGCTTCTCTAAGATCCTGCACATCAAGGTGGAAGGTGGCTGCTAACCCGGGTTGGGGGCGGCAGGGCCCCTGCCAGCCCCACACCAGGGCACTCTCTTTGGACCTCTGGAGCGACCCTGGTTTGGACTAGACCTTTGGAGGCCTAGTGTTATCCCTGGCTTCCAGGGAGGGGTTGACAGTCTCCTGTCCTTCTCCTGGAACAGCAGAGCAACAGACCTGACCCAGGGCACTGCCTCCCCAGGGCATGGGCTTGGACGGAAGCTGCCCTCCGACCCCCACCCCACCCCCACTTCTGGCACAGCCAGTGAGGAGCTGTTACCACCAGCACCTGGTGTCATCGCCCGGAGGATCTGCAATAACCACCCAGTGGCTCCTCAGCCGCTCAGGCAGGCCTCTCCTTCCTGAGGCCCAGCCTCCCAGTCAGGGGCCTCTGCCAGGCTCCAGGCCAGAGGGGGCTCCACAAGGCAGCTCAGACTTGGCAAGGAGGGCTCTTCTTCTCCCCCTACCCTGTTCCAGCCCTCTGTGGGGCACTGCTTCAGACAGCCTGCCTAGGACTTGGGTCCACCTTCTCCAGGGACAACACAGGCAGCTGAAAGCTGGGGGGCCGGTGGTACAGTGGGAGTGTGGGGGTGAGCTTGGAAGGAAAATCAGACATGTAGAATTTCTTCCAGGATGAGCCCACCCCTCCCAAGTTGGGGAATCACCAGGTGGAGAAAACTTATTTATACTGTAAGAAAAGACAAGACCACTCCTCTCAACTGCCACATACCCCACCATGCAGAGCTAAATTCTGAGCTAAAAGGTGCATGTTTCTAATACCTACAATTTATTCCTGAGGGACCCTCTGGAAGGTCAAGGTCCCAGCCCTGGGAAATCCTGTCAGCAGTGAGAACTAGTTCCCATCCTTAAGGAATCTCCTCCACATCCAGGTGCTTGGGCAGGAAACTGATGGCCTTTGGGTCCCTAAGGCTGTCTGAGGGAGGCACTGGGCTGCCTTCTGTGCTGGGGCATGGAGGAGGTTGGGAGGAGGGTGACTTGCTTTGTTTCCTTGTCTGGTCAGCTTGCTTGAAGATGTGGCCTTGGCACATGTGACCCGTGGGGCCACAGAGGAGGAAGAGCATTCTTAACAGACTCACTCCCCTTTCCTCAGTCTCCACTGGCCCCATGGGCTGAGGGTTGCATTGAGGGTCCTCACTGGAATATCCACTGTCCCCAAAGAACCAGGTCCCAGTATCGAAGTTCCAAAGACTGAAGACTCCCTACTTCCTCCTCTCAGAACTCCCCCAGTGGCTCAGGGGCCGTGGGTCCTGCCAGCCTTCATTTGCAAAGTTCTTTCAGACATCTAACCTAGATCTTAGGGTTTCCTTCTCTCCTGTACAGGATCAGCTCCCAGCCCTAGCTATTAGGTCTCTGGTTCTGGCTGGGGCTGGGGGTCCCATTGTTTCCCAGTCCTCTCCAGGGACCCCGACTTCTGCCACAGCCTAGCTTGAACATGAAAACTCAGCCCTGGGTTACCTTGTAATGAGACCTCCAGAGCTGGGACCCACAGGCTCAGCAACGTACCCAGCTCTCCCTGGTTCTACTACCTAGCTCTGTCCCAGCTCTTTTCATCATTGCTCTCTGACTTTCCTCTTGTGGCTTCTTCTGTCCCTGCCCTTTGAAGACCTGAAATACCAAGGGTGTCATGTTGGCAACTCTATCCAGTCCTGCATGAAGCCTTGGCTGTGTGAGGCACACCCCCATTCCCAGCCCAGAGCAACTGTTCATCGGCTCCCACCTCCCCAGCCCTGTTCCCAGGAGTCACAGGATGGAGAAGCAAAACTTTCCTCTGCCAGCTGCCTGGAAGGGAGGTGCAGATCTGCACAGGGCCTGGCTGCCCTGGGTGTGTCTGTCCCACCGTGCCAATCACACCCCTACTGTAGCTTCTGCTCCCCGTGACCCCAGGACCAGAGGTGCTGCCCTCCTGTCTCCTGGACAAAGCACAAAGGGATGCCCTGCTTGTCCTGAGCCTGCCCAACTAAGGGACTTCCTCTGCCCCAGGGAGCCTCCATCCCTAAATACAAGCTCTGGGCAATTTATCCCTGGGTGGTACCCATGGAATGCCTGGCATTGGCCCTGAAAAAGGAAGTTGGGGTGCACAGTGAGCTAGGGTGGGAGAAAGGTGGTGCTGAAAGGACTGATGCTAGTCGTAGACTCATTCATTCATTCACTCAGTCATGCAGTAGTACTGAGCACCACCATCACTAAGGGCAGAACAAGACCTTCTCCTGCCTGGTGGTAAGTCCACCTTCCACAGGTTTGGCTGTCTCCAGGGAACCCACTAAGTCCTCCACCCTTGTATTTTCTGGCTCTGTGTGAAAGATGTGTGGGAGTACATATTGCTCAGGCCCAAGCCCTTGCCAACAGGAAGGACAGGTCACGGCGTATCCCATTGCACATGCACCCCTGAGGCTGACAGTTGTGCACCCTGGCCTTCATGCATGCCGTGAGAGCTGGCAGCATGTACCCCTGCCTCCCACTGCCAACTTGATGCTGTTTTGTTCTCTCCTCGGGAGGAGCCCAGCTGCTGCATGGGGAGCTTTTGCTTGCTGGGATGTTCCATTTATTCACTTCCTTAGCAACTGTATAGCTAGGGCTGGAGCAGGGACGGAGGGCCTGGCCATTCCTAGAAGCACTTCATCCCATCTTCACCCACCCAAAGGGGAGCCCTCCTCCAAATCTCATATCTAATAAGAAGCAAAAAAAAAGGAGTATCTGGGAGGGCAAGCGGAGACAGGCCCTTCTCCAAGGGGCTCCAGGTATGTGGAGATCCCATGGGTGGTGGCCACTACATGGGCCTACCTCCCTGCCCCCTGCCATACAGCCCAGCCCCAACACCCGGGAGGTTCGGCATATTTGGCTTGAGTACTTCATGCTTTATTAAGGTTGCTTCCCCACAGGACTGGCAGGAAGTAAAGATGCACGTATAAGGGTACTACAGAAAGTTTGTGGGCAAACGGAATTAAAAGATAGTATGAATCTTTCTGTGAACTTTTTGAAGACCCCTTGTACGTGCATCCCTAAAGGAAAAAGAATGGATTGCCCAGAACCAAGGCTGTTCACTGGCCAGAAGAGACCACCTGAGGTCAAAGTAGCTCATGTTTTCTTAGAGCTGTGGAGTCTGAGCCAACCCCTCAGGAATTGCTTCAAAAGGAAAAAAAAAAAAAAAAAAAAAAACCTCTTTTGCAAGGCCTGCTACATTTGGCTGTTCTTTGCCTTTGGGTCCTGCCTGTCCCCTTGGTCCTGGTCTCTAATCATCTGGGCCACAGGTGGGGAGCCGCACAGGCCCCAATCCCTCTAAGGCGCTAATATGAAGGAGACCTTCCCAGGGTGATTATTGGTGCCAAAGACCCAGTTCCTGGTGGACTTGGAGTGAAAACAGAGGACGGAGAGTGGGTGTATGGTCCAAATGCCCAGAGTAGTTAACTCTTAAAGGATGGGACCTGTCCTAGCCTGTCAGTCCCTGATGGGTGTACCTTCCCTCCCCTGGGGGCTAGCACTTCTCTTTTTGCCCTTAGTGACCATGCTTTCTCACCCAGCTTTGTTCCAGGCCTGCACCTGTATATAGTGCTTTGTATCGTGTGTATGTGTTTATTCCTGGACAAGTGTGTTCACCTGCAGCCCTTACCTGAAGATAAGGTTTAGGATTGGGTGAAGATCAGAATACCAGGGCCAACTAAGGCAACTACTCCCTCCCCAACCCCTTGGGACCTCGGCCAGTCCCAAGGCTGTCCTGACAATCAGGCAGGCTCCCCACCATGAGAAGCCAAGCCTATGCCACCGCCAGCATGGCCCGAGGAGGCTTGGCCTTGGGCTCCCAGCCTCAGCTTTGCCCTTGCAGAGGTCTTGTATTCAGGGGCATAAGCCTGAGGCGACAGGTTTGCTTTGTGGCTGGTGCTGGCAGGCTTGGTTCTTGTGGAACCTCTGGTGGGGACCTCCACAACTGGCCCCTAGGCCCTGCCTTCGCTGCATAGCCAGGCCTTAATGGGCCTGAACCATGAGAGGGTAGCTTCCCCCACCCCAAGCACATCAGGCAGAGGGGCGGAGAGCAATTTTTGTTTTTACTTTTGTTTCTGAAGTGGTGCCTGTACCTCCAGCCCCCAGGGGGCCTTCCCTTGCCCCACTTCTCTGCCCCCCCACGCATTGACATCCCAGCACTTTGCTCCAAGTCACCCAGAGATGCCCTTTGCTGAATGTACCAGAGTGTATGTATTTAAAAGGACTCACATGGGCATCAGAGAATTTATGGCTCTGTATCCAATAAAAGATGGTGAAACTGGTAATCTGTCCCAGGGAAGTAAATGGTATGTGGCCATATTTGTCTGTCTGTGTCACTGCTGACTTTCTGCAGCTGAAGGGCACTGAGGTAGGACAGAGGCAGATAACCCAATCGGCATCAAGGAGCCAATCAAGAATTCAGGAGACTTGCCTCAGGACTGCAGAAATCGCTGAAGGAAAGCCACCCAGGTTACTTCCCCTCCCACAGCTCAAGCATGACTTCAGCATCCACACCCAGACAAAAAGCCTTGTGACAGGTCATTCTGACTCCCAACTGGGAGAGGCCATTTCAAGGGCAAGCTCAGTGAACATACAGAAGTGGCAGGCACTACCCAGCCCCTAACCAACTTGGCCACCACCTCAGGCGGCTCTGGCCAGCCAAGCAGGCTTTGACCTAGGGGAGACAGGTTTTCTGGCATTAACTTCCCCATTTTATAACACAGGCTTGCCCCAAGGATTGATTACTAGGGTGCTGAAATATTTAAAATAACAAAAAAATAGGTGTTTAGGCTTAAATTATGGCTCCGACATAAAACACAGAATGAGCATTTAATACCCACACCTCTGTGAGCCAACTGCTGTCACCTTGTCATACAGGTAGAATAGGTGAGGAACAGAAAAATTAGTCTACCTCAAGACACTCAAGTGAGGACAGATGCCAGATTCCAAAGCCTGGACCTGCCTATAGCATAACTGTGCTTTCAAGTCCATCTAACCAGTAGCACCTGGGCTCAGAGATTTGTTTTAAATCACTTTCCAGTCTCAGGCAACAACAGCTTCAATGGCTCAAGATGACAATCATTTACCTCCAGCCACAACAATTACTAACTACAGCTAGCTGCAGGCCAGCTCTCAGGACCAGTACAAATGAAGAGGGTGTTAGACCTTGCTGGACTTCCAGTTGATCTGTGCCAGCCATTCCAAACTTACTGGTTAGAATAAAGCAGAAGGAACTGAAAAAGACCCAGTAGTGCTCTTTCAGCCACCACCTCAGTGGACATGTAAGAGGTCACCAGAGTTTAGAGAGGATGCAGTGTCCCTAAAACATCCATCCCAGAGTTGTCAACCTCAAGATCTTGAGTAAGAGGAAACAAAGACTGAGCCAAAAGAATATGGATGGAGAAGGGGCTGACAAGATTTTAACACATTTACTCAAACCAGAGAAATGCTGGGAGCAGTGCCTCACTAGGCCAGGACTAAATAAGACGATGTCAGAAGAAAAGGAAGCAACTCCACATCTCCCGGCCACTTCTGGGACTCAGAATACAACTGTAGTAAAACTTCCAGATGGGTCACTACAGTGGAGTTCACCCCAGTGCGGGAGATAGTTTTTCTTTTGTACCTGTTGGGCAAGTGCATGCAAAACTAAAATTATGAGCTGTAGTCAGACATTTCTGTGTAAAACTACTGTGCCCAAATAATTTACAAAGTTAATCCTAAGGCTTGAGTTTTATTTAAATAAACTCCGGTAAGAACAGAGTGGGCCAGTTACTACCCCTTCCCATAACCCCAATTAACCAAGCCAGGGAGAGTAAGTGCACCCTGCAGCAAGCCTGCCAGCCAGTTGCGATGGAGGGGGTGCCTCTCAGTGGGGGTGGCCACGACCTCGGCCCCGGCCAGCTGCTGGGGGAGCATCCACGGTCGAGCGGGGGTTCTTGATGGTCTCATCTACAGACACAATAAGGCAGGCAGCCTCAGAGGCAGCTGTCAGGGCGTTGATCCGCACCATAGCTGGCTCCCACACGAAAGCTTCAAAGTTGTCAGCAATGTCCTCGTTGTTGATGTCCACCCCATACCACGTACCCCCCTGAAAGAGGAAAAGAAGGGAAGTAATGTGGAACTTCTCTCAAGTTTCTTCTTGTATGCCTTTATTCCAAAAGACTAACTGTTGGGAATCCTCAGACTCTGAATTTGATGGCAGTTTCCTGAGGAAGACAGCAGCCTCCCAGGGCATCACAACAGGAACCTGCAAGTGCACCTCTTCCCACCCCTACTCTTGCCAAACACTCCCTGCAAATCCTGGACACACTGATCACACAAGAGCTCTGGGCCCTCTCCCAGGCAAGCTGCTGGGTTTTAGGGAGGCCCCATCCTCAGGTCACCTGAGGACTATGCATGTCAAACCATGGTTCTCAAGAGAAACGAGAACAAATACTTTACAAACACTTTCCAATCCCTTATCTTACTTTACCATCTCATTGCCTCAATCCCCATTTTACAGATGAGGAAACTGAGACACAGAGAGGTAAAGTGACTTGCTTCAAGTCCTAATACAAGCCAGAAGCAAGGTCACTCATTACTGAGTACTGCTGTCGCAGTGCTGAGCACTTAACAAACATGGAGCCATGGCTGGGCACAGGTCATCAGGAATCCAGAGTGCTTCACCTCCACACCAAGAAACCCACAGCATGTGGCCAGCATGTGCTTCCAGGCAGGAGGCTGTGGGTTCCTCGGGTTACTCTCATCACACTGTGAGGAGCGATCATACCCTTGGTAGAAGCACTGAACAAACCCTGGAACCTCCAGTCTTGGCACCATGGCTTTCCCTCTGCCCTCAGAGAAGCCAGTTAGTTGCTGCTGGGCTGAATTCCACCCCATCACCTGGGCCACATGCCCAGCTTGAATAAGCACAGCATACACTCAGAATCCAGCCCCATCCACTCAATCCCTATACCTTGAGGAGAAGGACCCACCTGGGCATGCCGAGCCCGCAGTTTGTTGAGGATGTTTGTGGCATCAAAGCCAGCATTGTCACACAACTGGCGTGGGATAATCTCCAAGGCCTTGGCATACGCCCCAATCAACAGCTGCTGTTTTCCTGGAATAGTTCTTGAGTAATCCCGCAGGTACTTGGAGAGCTCCATCTCAATGGCCCCACCACCAGCCACCACCGAATCATTCTGCAGAGACCAGAATACCTCTCAATGCAAGCGGGCCCCTGGGCCAAGCTCCAAGTTGGAAAACTCAGTAGGTGCTCCACTCAGTAGGTCCTCCCACCCAGAAAGAGAGTGGTTCCTCATTCCTTCCCCCATCCCAACGCCCACAAGCCCAAGCATGGCCCCTGTTTAGCACACCCTAACTTTAACGCAGTAAACCTTATGGTTTCTGACCATCTTCAAGGTCATCTGTAACTTGAGGGCACTCGCACAATCAGTGGGATGGCTGACCACATAAGCTCCACAGTTTGCTAGCAAGAACAAGTCTCAGGGCCGGCCCGTGGCTCACTAGGGAGAGTGCGGTGCTGATAACACCAAGGCCACGGGTTCGGATCCTATATAGGGATGGCCAGTTAGCTCACTAGCTGAGCGTGATGCTGACAACACCAAGCCAAGGGTTGAGATCCCCTTACTGGTCATCTTTATATAAAAAAAAAAAAGGGGGTGGGCCCGGTGGCTCACTGGAGAGTGCGCTGCTTGGGAGCGCAGAGGTGCTCCAACCGAGGGTTCGGATCCCATGTGGAGACCGGTTCCCGCTCACTGGTTGAGCGCGGTGTGGGCGCAACACCGAGGGTTGCGATCCCGTTACCGGTCAGTAAAAAAAAGACAAAAAAAAAAAAAGTCTCAGTCTTTAAGGGAACATGACCTACTTTTGAGAGTCTGAGGCTCAGTTCCTCTATGATTTGTGGGGCAAATAAGGAAAAGGCAGGTTATAATGTAGGGAAGGAATTACCACACAAATCCAGGGTCTGATCAGCTAGAGAGATAGAATAGGCTATACAGTGAGGCGGCCATGAGCCCTGTACCTTGATGGCCCTCCTGACAATCATGATGGCATCATGCAGGGAACGCTCTGTCTCTTCCATAAACTGCTCAGCGCCACCACGGAGGATGAAGGTGCATGTCTTAGCCTTAGGGCAGCCAGTGAAGAAATTGTACCTACACCCAGG